CCCCCCCCGTTCCATGTTAAAATTGCAATGGGAAGCTTTGGAAATGCCTGTGCTTAGCTTTTCTCCAGGAAAATTACTCAGCCTCTCTGAGGGTGGGACATGGGTATGGATGTTTTTTGAAAGCCCAGCAGGTGATCCAGGCCATCCTGGTGTGTAGACGGGGTTGAGCGGGGCAGAGCTACAGAAAGCAGCTCTGAACTGGTGCTTGTCACCTGCCACAAGCGGGGGCAGTACCAGCTCTCCTGTTACCAGGCGATCCCAGCATCTAGCTCGGTCTTTATTCAATGAGGGAGGGGAGAGGAGAGAGGGTGGCTGGCGTTGTGGGCAGCACCCTGGAGAGTGGCCGCAGAGCCTCCTGCTCCTCAGGAGACAGGCGATGTGTGAATGCCAGGCCCCCAGAGCCACCAAGAGCCAGACAAACACTACTGTCCTCTCTCGGCAGAAGGAAGAGACGTTGCCGAAGATGCGGGGCCGTCAGCAAACGCTGTCTCCCGTGTCTGTGTCTGGCTGTTGTGCATGAAGCTGCCGAACATTCCTGTGCGAGTCTGTGTGTCCACACCACCTTTCATTTCTCTAAGCAGCACTCTCTTGAATTTGCAACACCTTGCTTTGTCTGGTGCTATTTTTATACAAGTATGATCGAATGATACAAAGCAATTTATTATAATAATAAATCTGACCTCTTTATTTGAAAGAAAATGGATGTGGGGTGGGGAAATCTATTTTAATGAGCCTCCCCTGTACGTTATAAAAACTGTTACAGGGCACGCTGGCACGAGGCACAGGGGCAAGAAGATGCAGGGATGGGCAGACACCGGGACACGCTGCGAAGTACGTGCCTATTTGGTTTCAGACCGGCAGCCCCTAGGCCACTGCAGCCGGTTCACCACGCAGACCCGATGTGGCCAAATCTTCTCGTTTGCAAGAGAAGACAGATTTTTTCCCCCCTGCATATATGTAATCTCCTAAATTGAAATGCTGGTCAATAAAAAAATATAGTAGGCACTGGTGGACCAAGGCTGTCAACATTAGACACTACAAGGTAAAACTCCACTGCAGGCTGGGTGTGGCCACCACTCACTGAGCCCTGCTGAGACCGGCTCTCGATCCTGGCTGCGTAAATGCAGCAGGCCTGGGCCTGGGCCCGGGCCCGGGCCCACATTCTGAATTACCAGGTCAGGAATGAGTCCCGGGCGCTTGTATATTTTTTAAAGCGCCGAGTTCACTCTGTTTCACAGCCAGGGTAAAGCAGGGAACTAAATTTCCAGTTACAGTACTTTGTCACATTTCCCAACTTCAACGCCATGTTCAGAACTCTCTGAAGCAGGCCCAGGCTGCCTCCGCCTGATTCTGAGCTCCAACAGTGACGTGGGTGCCAGTAAATTACAGTTGGTGACATACACACGAACAGTGGAAATGTGACAATCGAGTCTTCCTCAGCTTTAATGAACCTAGTTTGGGTTTCTCTGTGTACTCATTGAGGGTGTTATTACAGCTGGACTTTCTGGAAGAAACTTGATTCTAGGGCAAAGGATGTCCATATCTGAGCTGATGGGAATTTCTTCCTTGCGAACATGCCAGCCTTAGAAGTAAAAACTCCCAAACAAGGGAGACAATAGAGAAAGCAGGACAAGGCAGGCCAGAGGAGCTGTAAGCATTTTTACAAATAATTTAGCAGGTGACAGGTCTTGCGGGACAAGTAAAAAGGCCAAGTGGCCACCAAGGCTCCTCACCTGGGATTCTTGCTCGGTCAGGTGACTCTGAGCTTAGAGTAAAGAAGGTAGGAAGGCCGGGACTAGAGCCTGTCTCAGTCTTTCCAATGAGCTCCTGCAAGCCCAAGACAAATGGGTCCTGATGAAAACCGGGCACAGCCAGTAACCGGATCCTCCCGTCATTTGCATGTCAAGCCTCTAGCCTGTAGTCATGTGACAAGCAAATGAAGAAAAATTAGAAATAACCATTAACTGAGAAAATAAATTGCAATAACACTGAGCGAGGGTCAGAAGCTTGCGGAGCAGGTACCTGTTCTTGGCAAGAAAACCCGAGGGTCCGGGCCAAAGACAATGGTGGTGACGGTGAACACAGATTACACGGATAAGGACATATCCAGGTTCAAGGTCGTCTTCACCTTGGTGGTCTCCGGAACCGAGTGCGTCGCTGGCATCGCTGGGAACGGCTTCATCACGGCCATCCACGGGGCCGAGTGGGCCCGGCGCAGGAGGCTCCCTGCGGGCGACAGCATCCTGCTGGCCCTGAGCCTCTCCAGGCTCCTGCTGCAGATCTGGATGGCGGTGGACACAGCCTCCAGCCTACTCTTCCCGGCCACTTACAACCGAAACGCCGTGTACATACCCTTCAAAGTCATCGTCATGTTTCTGAATTACTCCAACCTCTGGCTCGCCGCCTGGCTCACCGTCTTCTACTGTCTTAAAATCGCCAACCTGGCCCACAGGCTCTTCTCCGCGATGAGAAGGAAGATCCCGGTGCTGACGCCGTGGCTCCTGAGGCTGACGCTGCTCGTCTCCTTGGGCTTCAGCTTCCCCTTCTCCAGGGACGTCTTCAACGTGTACGTGAACAGTTCCGTCCCTGGCGCCCCCTCCAACGCCACCGAGCGCCACTACTTGGCTGAGACCAACGTGGCCAACCTGGCCCTCCTCTACCACCTGGGGATCCTCCTTCCCCTCGCCACGTTCGTGCTGGCGGCCTCCCTGCTGATCACCTCCCTCAAGAGGCACGCCCTGCGCATGGGAAGCCACGCCACCGGCTCCAGGGACCCCAGCATGGAGGCGCACCTGGGGGCCATCAGAGCCATCAGCTACTTTTTCATTCTCTACATGTTCAACGCCGTCGCTCTATTTCTTTCCACGTCCAACGTCTTCGATGCCAGCAGTGCCTGGGATATTTTGTGCAAAGTCATCACGGCTGCCTACCCAGCCGTCCACTCGGTGCTGCTGATCTTGGGCAACCCTGGGCTGAGAAGAGCCTGGAGGCGGCTCCGGCACTGAGTCCACCTTTCCCTGTAAGGGCAGAGTCTGCGGCTGGATCCCACAGGACCTGCTCCAGCCAGCTCCGCTTTCTCACCTAGACCCCTCTTCTCCCCCATCTTGTCTGTCTTAATCCCGCTCTGACACTCCTCCTGGGTAACTGAATCCTCTCCTACGGGTGAAGCTCAGTGTTTAACTTGGGATTCCCAGCAGAAGTAGCTAAGCAACTCTTAGACGGGTTGATGAAAGCTCCTTGGCCCCTGCCCATTCATGTCCTGCCCTGAGTGCCTCTCCCATTCCTCCTTCGCCGAGCCTTAAGGAGGGGGCGACCAGACACCCTGCTTGCCTGGGGTGATCTCTGTTTGGGCCTGTTGTCGCTGAGCACCCTCTAATTCTCAAGCCTATCTTGGTCTGGTCGCCCTGCTTGAGGCACCTTACTGACCCACCGTTAAGAAAGGGGAGGGCTGGTGACAAGCCATAGCATGCCGTCCGAAAGGAAATCATGATAGCGACGGAGAAAAAGTTCAGGAAGGATAGGCTGGCCAAAATTATCAAGTGCTGCGGAGGTTTCAGGGAAAATGCAGCGTGAAGGAGAAGGCCTGGGGCTTGACTGGAAGGAGGCCACGTGCACTCTCAGCACAGGGACGCCGTGGCATTCAGATTACAGGCGATGAGAGCGGTGAGGGAGTTTGCGAGGACCAGCCAAGACCAGTAATCTCAGGAGGTTGTTTGGAGAGAAAAGTGAGCTACAGGGTGGCAGGTGGATAAGTGGATGGTCAAAGGACTGCTTTATTGTCCCAGGTAATAGGGGACGAAGTGAGGAGAGAGGAAAGGGGGAATGGAGAAAAGAGAGGGAGGTGTGCGGGACGCAGAAAGAGCACAGGAAGAGGCCAGAGTTACAAAGGTCTATCCTGCTGGGCTCCTGACTCTGTGACAAGGCAGTCCCACCTGTGTCTCTGGCTTTACCGGCTCTGGGTCACCTCAAAGTAACCGGTGGGGCAAGGGCAGGGCAGGCTTCAGAGTAATAACATTGGCTCGGCCTCAAAGGGCTGCTCACAAAATAAGAAGCCCCACCCCACCCCCGGGTATCTTGGAATCAGAAGGGTAGGATTTGGGGCTTATTTGTATTTCCTATTTTTAGGATCAGAATGGCCAAGGAAAATATAAAAAGAATGCCGCTGACTGCACCAAGCTTAAGGAGCTGCACAATGGAAATGGAAGGCCAGTAAGCAGAGACGAAAACCCGAGCTCCTGCTCTCAAACACATATTTCAGAGAGGGCCTTGGGGCTTGTAGAAAGGAAAATATTTGTGAAAACAGGCCAGCTTGGTAGGTTTCCTAAGTGATATTTATGTATATGACTATTTAAAGTTGGTAGAGTTGTTATAGTAGACGAATTAGACTTTGCGGTTTCATTCTAATTCCTAAAAAATAGAGAAATTTTTTTTTCCAAATAATACACACATACATGCTCACTGAGGGCGCTTTCATGCATCACAGAGAAAACAGAAAGCTGATTTAAAGTCACCATGTCATTGATATGAACCACGCCAAGACAGGAAAACTGCATAACCCCTCGGCATGCTTAGTCCAAAGAAATAGCCTCTCATTGTTGCAAGAGCCGGGGGCGGCAGAGAGCTAAGGAGAGGTTCAAGGACTCGACACCCTTATCAACACTGTACGTTGCACTACCTTCTACCAAATGAAGTTCCCTCCAACCCCCCCTCCCT